TATATATATATATATATATATATATATATATATATATATCTGAAGTAGGTTTATATGAAAATCTTTTAGCAATAATTGAAGAAATATTTTAATAGGAAATTAACAGCATATTATTTATTTAATTAAACGAACAGGCTAGAAACAATAAATTCAAAACTTGACAAACTATATCAGAAATCTTATCCAAAACTTGATAAGCTGCACCCAAAAAACAAATGAACGTTCCACAAACAGGCTTTGTTTTTTATTCTTTGAGAATAAAATGTAAGAAAATATAGCGTTTCTATAATATCAAAATTGAAAGTGTCACTTCTTTTATTGTAAACTTTATAAACTTTGCTTCTTAATCGGAAACCTTAATATTAATGTTCTAAACGTTTAAATTAAAAGGATGAAATGATAAAAGTAAAATTAAATAGGATTCTATTATTGTTTAGCCTCCATGTGGTGAAACTTCGGTCACTCTTTATAATTATTCTCCCCAAACTTATGTTTTCAAAAAGTTGTGAAACATCAGCAGTTGTGGCCAGTATTGAAATTTTGAAAGTGGTGTTTTTTCCCTGATTTTTCAGCTTATTTTCCTTATAATCCATCTTTCAACACCTTGTTCTTCAATTAACCCTAAATAATGTAAATATTTATCGATATAGTTTCGTTTTTGTTTTTCTTATCAAAATTTATAACAATTATTGTCGGTCATTATTTGAGCATATCATAATAATAGTATAGTGAAACCTCTCCGTTCCACATTGAAATAGACGCGTTGATGGAGGTTAGTCGTTCATAGAGGTTATTCCTATTTACTTCAAAATTGTTATCGAAGGTACATGATTTTTCGTCAATTTTAGTCAGTGTCATTATCTTGATGCTGAAATGTCACTTCTGTTGGCATCCTGAGAAGACGGATCAATAAACAAAATTTAGCGTCTATAAAAATGATCTCAACTGATGTAATTATCCGAAAACACAAATTTACCTATTATGAATGATAAAGCTATTTTAAGTAAATAAACAATTACTTTTTTGGTTTAAGTTTGCATTTAGTTTTATATCATAAAAATTAATTAGCTTCAAAAGGGGAGAAGAGGTTTGCTTATTTGAGATGCTTGTCTTTTCTAAAGTAACTTTTTTTTCTAATTTAACTTTCAACTCTAAGAGAAAATCACTGATAGCATTTTGACTGCAACATGAGATTGTATCGTCAAAAAGAGTTCTCTAAATAGGAGCTCCACACAAATATTTGAAATACATTTTAATAAATAGTAGATACTAGTTTGCAAGGTGCATCAATAGCTATTTTAATTATGTCTAGTGTTTACGAATTTAAAACCTGTTTTGTGTTGTTTAAGTGTTTCAAAAGGTTATTTTCTATTTAACGAATTTTCCATAAAACGAACTTATTATCGGGATTTAGCGACTTCGTTAAATATAATTTTTTAAATGGTAAAATTGTACCAAATGTTGGAGAATATATCAGACGCTGGGTCTAGGGGAGTTATTAACCATATCTTTTGCCCTCTATCTCTTTTGGCCAAACTTGTTTTGGAATTTCAAAGTCGGTTTTTCATTTCAGGTCACTCAAAAATCTGGCCCAGAACTTTCTATTCTATTATCGGATGAGAAATCCTCCTTGTCAACAATTGATATAAGTTCATTAGAATGGCGTCGAAGTTTGGCAGTCGAAGAAGTCTCCAAAAGAAGCCTTCTATCAAGATCTCTATGCATGACTGGTGATTGGGATGATCAGAAATTAACACCAAAAGAGTCAGACGATGCTGCCTCATCTGTGGAGAAAGGGTAACTCATTTGCTTTATTCTCGCTGATTTACTTGTAAAATCCGATTCAATCAGATCTGAGAGACAACTGTACAAATTAGTTTACCTATTCATTTTTTCAGCATCAAGTGCGACATAAAGTCTCAACATCTAACAATTTTTTTACAGACTTTAAGGTGCTGAGTATGAATATTTCAGTTATTTTAAGGCAACAGGAATAGTTCTTAAGTTATTCGCAGAAATAATAAAATAAAAATATCGCACTCGTCGTGTTGACACACAGTGGCTCAGCAGAAGAGTACGTGAATATTTCTTTGAAACGATGGTTTGTTCAAAACTGGTGGTTGATATAATTTCTTTGTTAAAAAAAGAAATGTAGAATGAAATAAAATTTTACATACGTAAGTAAAACTCTAGTTAAAAAATCAAAGCAAAGGGATCAATTATTCCAGAAAAAATGAATAAGGTGTGAATGCAAGATGCGAAACGGTCGGTTATTCGAGTCTCTTATAATGTCTTGCGGCAACTCGTTCTACAAATATCGTAAAAACACTTCTAAATCGAATAAATTCGGAGGCTGTCCAACTTGCCTTCCCAAGTGATCCCAGATATGCTCATTCGGTGATAAATCTAAGGATCTAGCAGACCAGTTGTAAAGTGGCGAAAACATTCCTATGACTTGCTATGTGTGGCCTAGCATTACTTGTTGAAAAATGCCTCCTGAAAGCCCTGCTATGAGTGGTAACACATGTAGTTGAAGGATGTTTCGAACGTACCGATAGACTGTTAGGACACCGTGGAACAAAATTAGGGGTGATCGCTATGGTAGCCTATACCATCGTACCAGCTGTAGATGCGGTGTGTTGCTTTACAGTGTAGACAGGAAAGACACTCACTGACTGTTGCTTCCGTTTGAAATGATGTCGCTCTCCACGGGTTAGACTGCAACCGAATAAAACTAGGTCATTTTATGTGATGAATCCATACTTAATTTAGACACTGATTATCATCGTGTACAAGCGTGGAAGTACAGTCCCAGAAAGCATGTTACTGCAACCTTGCTTTGGAATTTTCTTTTTTTTTGTCACGAAAACGTTTGTACTAAAAATTTCTTTTCAATCAAGCAAAAATATTGCAGTTTCAAACCTTTCATCCCAAAAGGATTAAAAATTATTTTTAAAAAGTATTGTAACTAAGGTAAAATAGTCACTTAGGTCCAAGATGGCGTTTAAGCTCAAGCTGACGTCGCACTAGCAATAGGATCAAATTGCATTGTCCTTCAAAATTTCATGACAAGGTGGATTTTAGCTGAGCATACAAGACTTAGCGAAAAGAAACCTCATAATTACCTAGATTTAAGATTATTTTCACCTTGAGACTAGCTTTATTCAAGCATTTTTACACGCTTGAAAACCTTAAGTCAACCTCGATTCAATGTTTTTATGTAAAAGATTGTTTTCCAAGGTTGTGGACTAGGGTAATGTGCGTAGAATAGAGCAGATTGTCACAGATCTCGTTTTAAGGTTAGAAGGTTTACACGTACACAAACACAGCATAAAAAAACCTTTTTAGGTTTACATTAAAAGGCTTTTTCTGAGTGAAAATAAACCTTTATTTTGCCATCTGGGGTAGTGATTGCTTCAATCCTGCTGCTTACGCTGTACAGCATCACACCATTTCGACAGCTGGTGTGATGATGGAGTGCCATCGCATACGACGCATGATCACCCCTAATATTGATCCGCGGCGCCATGACGGCCCAGCGGTACGTTCTTGACATCTCTCAACACATTTGTTGTCACTAATGGCAGGACCTACAGGAGCCATTTTTCGAAAAGACAATGCTCAGCCACGCATAGTGAAGGTATTACAGGAGCAGGAATGAAAAATTTCGAAGAAAAATTACGAAATCGTAAACTTCAGCTAAAATTTATGCTATTGTAGTAAATAAAATTTTTTTTTATTTCTATCAGCAGCACTTGCAGCATTCGCTGGGGTGTAAAAACACTCCGCGAAGATCCATAAGGAATAACAACAAATTAAAAAAAATTTAAAAGCATTCGAAATGCAAAATTTTTTAAACATTCGAAATACAAAAACCATTAAAACAGAGAAACATTAAATAGAATATCAACGATAGAAATGTAAACAGAAAATCAGTCAGTTTGCAGTGCCTGCAACTGTTTCCTAGCATTCTAGTAGCTGTCATGGACGTTGCCCACTGGCGTCGGAACCATGGGGGTCTGGACTCCCCCCCCCCCAATAATTGGGAAGCCAGGGTCTATTATTTTGAGAAAATATTTCTGTTTTGTTTCCATAACTTCTACTTTTTTCTCTTTCTCTCTTTTTTTTTACATAGTGAAACTTATTATGTTATATAATTAAAAGAAAATTAGTAAAAAACAAAATACACGCAAAAAAATGCACTGTATAAAAAAAATAAAACAGGTGCTTAGAATACTACAAGAATTGTCACTGTCACCCTTTCCTTCAATAAGCAATAAAACGCTCATTGCACCATTCCTTTTCTTCACACTGAATACTTCCTTCAACACCACACACACAGTTATTTGATACCTCAAAAATAGCTGCCTTAAGGCTATGGGAAAATGGTCTTGGCATTTTGAAATTGTCATTATCGTATTTATGGTCCTGGGTACTTTTGTCCTCTTTTTTTAAAATGTCAGATATCAACAGACCCATCACTTTGTTGGCTATCTATTCATAAATTTTCTCAAACAGGCAATTATCTAGAATTTGTAGGGGGGATTTCTTTTAGGGATTTAAGTAGGGGGAGACTCTTGTTTTTTGGTGACTTTGTCAAAAAAATTTCTCTGATATACAATCATTCTAAATCTTTTCTTACTTACAAAGCTCTCACAGTTTTATCCAGTCATTATTTAAATTAGCCATTTTCAGTTCAAAATTTTTTTTATAAATATAAATATTACGTTTACTTTTATATTTTGTTTCATTAATTGTTTTAACTTAAATTATTAGTTGCTTTTTTTAAAATAAAGTATGTATAAAGTTTTTGTAATAAAGTTTATAGTTGGATAACAAGAAGTGATTAAATAAATCCATTTCTGGGGAGGTAAGCAAATGTTTGTATTAAATCACTTAATATACTTATAATTGTATGTTTATATGCTGTAAGAATTGTTTTATAGTTTGTATATTAAATTTATTTATATAGTGCATTAGTTCATGATTTTACCGTTCATTGTGCATGAATTTATTTTTAACGCACGGAGCTAGTTCTTTTTTTATAAAATTATCAAATCAACGTAACTTTTAAATTTCTAAAATTATAAATCAAAGCTTAGAATTTTTATGACCTTTCTATAATTTTGTTTTCATTCAGAAATTTAATGTGACGTTTATTTTTCTAAAGAAATTTACCTAAAATTTTAATGAAGAAAAATTATATAAATATTGATTATTTATGTCCTAATACAAAAAATTAACATCTACTTGTATTTAAATCGAAAGGATGAAGAAATATTTTAAATGCAGAAGTTTTATAAAAAATTTCATTTGATTTTATTACACTCAGTAATAAAAACTAATAAAAATATTTTTTTAAGAATGAGATGATTTGTTAAAATTAATTTGTTGTATGAGTGTTTTATGCGCACTTCACGTAATTTTATTTATTTTGTTTTTATCAAAATAATATGGGATTTTTAAAGTTATTATTTTGTGCTTATTAACATTTTCATAATTTGTTTTCTTAACAAATATTTTTCCTGAATTAAAAGTATTAATTTTTTATAGTTTTAATACTGAAACTATAAATACTGCTCATAGCGGAAGGAAATAAGAGTTGTATGTGTTGTCGTTATTATTTCTTTGTGTAAATTTATATGAAGTTTTTATGGTTACCAAAATGGACTTTGCGATCCAAGAAAACCGGAATTTCTCATCTTATTGTGTGTTTCTTTTCTTGTAAATAATAAAAAGGAAAATATATTAAATAAAATATGCATAAAAATTATTCCCACCACAATTATTATAACTTATCATGTCTTCAAAATCTGTTCTGTGTCTATCAACTGAATAAATCCTTTTTAAACACAACATTTTCGATTTTTAAAATCATAGAAGTGGAACAAAAACGCTAAACTTCAAAACTGCTCTAATATTCCTAAATTTTCCACTTTTTCTTCTTCTTCTTTTTTTTTGTTGCAATTTCGAGTTGCATAAATATATTTATTCAAACCATAATAATCTCTACTGTAACCAATGTTTAATATTGTTTTTCTGGTATTATTTTAAATATTGTATCTTTCATTTCAGAAACCCAGATCAATTCAAATTCATAGTAAAAAAAACATATATATTGTTTTTGCTTTGTTTAGCAAAACGTTTTATGACTTTTTCTTATATTTCTTAAAAAATTCGACTATAATTTAAAATATGTTCCAAAAAATTGATCTCATTCGTGATTGTTTTATCGCATAGGATTACATGACATAATACACTGGTTATCATAAATTAAGGAAAAATCACAAAAATAGCGATAACTCTTTNTGATAACCAGTGTATTATGCATTTATAAATTTCATGTCATTTTCATCAAAAATTTTAACAGACAAAATCTTCTTTTCAAAATAAAACTATATTTTTAAGACACTGAACCTATTGGATTTAAGTAACTTTACTATAATTTCTTTAAAAAAACAAATTCCGCCTATTTTCAATTGAAACTTTTTACAAAAAATGCGTAGTGGAGGTGTTTTGAACCGTAATAATTTTCTTAAATACTATAAAGGGTTTAAATTAATCCTAATGTACTAAATTAATCCTTAATGTATTAAAAGAAATTTTTACAACCATATATAATTTCATTTGAATAAATATTTCATTACTTTAAATTGTCGTTTAACGGGTCAATTGAATAGGTTGTTAAATTCATATAGTTACTAATGAGATGTTTTTTTTTTTTTTCTGTGCCTTTCTTCAAGTGTTTATTTTTCATTCGCCGTCAAAACAGCGGGGAGGGATTACCTAATAATTAA